TCTGTTCGATGGTGTTTGATAAGTCCCTTAGGCTCTGTTTACTTTTCTTCATTCTGTTTGCTTTTTGCTCCTCAGATTCAAATTAATGTCAAATGACGTGTCTTCAAGTTTGCTAATTCTTCTTTTTGCCTGTTCAAGTCTGTTGAACCCCTCTACTGAATTTTCAGTTCAATTATTGTGTTTTTCAACTTCAGAATTTCTGTTTGGCTCTTTTTTTTAATTTCTCTCTCTTTGTTGATATTCTCTTAGAGAGATCTGTTTACAAGCTCTCTCTAAATTACTCTTGCTTTGTAATAAACCTACATATCTGATAGGCTAGTGAGTATCTTAACTATTTTTGGCTTTTTATTCCTCCGTATAAATTTTATACATAGTTTTCCTGATTTTGTTTAGTTGTCTTTGTTCTCCTTGAGCATATTTAAGACATTTATTTTAAAATCTTATGTTATATAAGTCCCAGACCTATGTTTCTTTAGGGTCAGTTTCTGGAGATATATTTTGCTCCTTTGAATGAGCTGTATTTTCCTATTTCTCTGTATGCCTTGTGATCTTGTTTTGAATACTGAGTGCTGGAGACTACTGTCCCAGTCTTTGTGGGCTGGTTCCATGCAGGGGAAAGTCTTCACTAATCAGCCAGCATGAAAGCTCAGGGTCCTCTCAGGCCATTTTTGTGGATGCATCTTTCCTAGGCCTGTGCGTGTGCTTTTTTCCAGTTTCCCCATATACATAGCTACTTTTATTTATTTGTTTGTTTGTTTATTGGGTTTTTTAAAAGACAGGGTCTTGCTGTGTTGCTCAGGCTAGACTCAAAACTCCGGGGCTCAAGTGATCCTCCCACCTCAGCCTCCCAAGTAGCTGAGATTACAGTTTAGCCACCAGGTCAGGCTAAGCTACTTTAAAATGTCTTAATTTCCCTAAAATGCCTATTTCATTTAACAGTTTTGGATGTTCTGTTGTATTCTGGTTACATTCATTTGCCTCCAGGCACCCATGAGTCTACAGTTTCCCCACAGCTCTCACATGCCACTGTGTCTGCCACTGCCTAAGCAGCCTCCATCTCGATACCCAAACTATGCCACTGTCCCATCAGCACTCTGAGTTAAGCAAGACAGAAGCCAGTTCCTTGGGCAGCTGTCTAAAAAGCCAGCATATTACAAGCAAGTTTCACTCTTTTCCTTCCATCTCAAGGTAGTAACCAGGAATTGAGTGGCCTCCCCCAACAGTGCCACACTGCCCCAGGAAGGAGGGCGGAGGGGAAGGGATGAGCAAAACATCATAAAATTCCTACCATCTCAAGTGTGGCTTTGTTTGTTTTGGTTAGCATTTGCTTGACTGTGAAACTTCTTAACTGGTTTCTAAATTTCCTACAAAGGTACTTTGGTCTGAATGTTGCTTATTTGGTGTTTCTGTGGGGAAACAAGGTCCTAGACTCTGCTAGTCTACTGCCCCTAGATATCCTCTATCTTTTTACTTTTAATCAAAATTATGTATATATAATTTACCTATAATATATATTGTTTACATATAGTATACTATTATATATAAAGTGGGTTTCTCATAGGCAGCATATAATTGGTTGTTGGTTTTTAAAAATCTAATCTGATAATCTATGCCTTTTAAAGTAGATTTATACATTTCATGATTATTGATATGTTTGGGTTTAAATCTAACATTTTGTCTATTGTCTTTTTTTCTCTGCCTTATTTTGAATGAATTCATTATTTTCTATCATTTCATTTTATCCATTTGTTAGTTTATTAGCTTTAATTATTTTTGTTTGGGGATTGTGTGTGTGTGTGTGTGTGTGTGTGTGTGTGTGTGAGTTTTATTTTTGTTTCTGGTTTTGGTGGTTACTTTAGGGCATATAGTATATGCCTTTGACTTGTCATAGTCTTCATTCAAGTGATATGATACCACTTTACATATCATGTTAAAATTTTTTAATGGTAAACTTTCCTATTACCCCTCCTGGCCTTCATGATACTGTTGTCATACTGTTTACTTCTACATGTGTTATAAATCACAAACTACATTTTTCTTATTTTGCTTAGTAAAAAAAGAGAACTTTTGGACATTTAGATTCTTTAACAGTTTTGACATTTAAGTTCTTAACGCTTTGGAGGCACATTGTGAATTGAGAATCCACTTCTATTTGGTTCCGTATGGATAACTAGTTTTTCGAACTTCATTTATTGAACAGCCCCTTCTCTTGCCCACTGTGTGTTTTGCCTCTCTCTCATACATCAAATTGTGTCGATCTGTTTACAAGATCTCTCTAAATTACTCTTGCTTTATAATAAACCTACATATCTGATAGGCTAGTGAATATCTTAACTATTCTTGGCTTTTTATTCCTCTGTATAAATTACAGAATTAGCTTGTCAAGTTCCATTGAAAACCCTAGTGCACATTTGATTAGAGATATATTGAATCAGTAGGTCCATTTACAAATAGTTAGCATCTTTATCATACTGCATTATCTCTTCATTTATTTAGGTTTTCTTTAATGCCTTTAGGTAAAGTTTTATAATTTTCAGCACATAGGCCATGCACATCTTTTGTTAGATTTATTCTTAGATATTTCATGGTTGTGTCTATTCTATATGATATTTGATTTATGTTTTTTAATTATTCATTGCTGCTTGTATATAAATGCATTTTACTTCGTTATGTCACTAGCCATCTTTCTACACATTTCTATTATTTTTATTGTGTGACAGTAGTTTTGTCTATGTGGAGTAAGCTAATCAGGTCATCTTAAGTAAGCATTTAATTCTATTCTCCAAGTCTGTGCCTTTTCCCCATGTCTTATTGCTCCTGCTGAGCACTCCTCTACAGTACTGGAATCTGTTAACAGTCATTTATATTTGTAAGTTTTGTAATAGTAAACTCTCCTTGCTTTCCAGGAGAAACTCACTTTGGTGATGGTTATCTTTTTTTATTCACTGTTAGAATGGAATGCTAATAATTTATAAAGGATTTGTACATCTGATTTCATGGGTAAAGTAGGCCTGGAATCTTCTATTCTCATGCTGTCTTTGTCTGGTTTTAGAATCAAGGTTATATTTGCTTCATAGAATGAGTTGGGGATAGTTCCTCATTTTTTGTCCTCTGATTTTATATCAAATTGGAAATATGTGATCCTTGTAAGTTTCTTAGATGTCACTTTAAAAACCTAGTATACCAGGTGTTTTCTTTGTGGTAATAATTAACTCCTCCTTTCTGTTTCTTTTTGAGAAAGTTTTGATAAATTGTATTTTTCTAGGAATTCTCTAGATGTTCAGATTTGTTGACATAAAGTTGTTGACAGTACCTGTATGTTTTTCTCTCTTCTACATCTGTTGTTACATCACTTTTTTATTCCTAATATTATTTTTTTGAGCTTTCTTCTTTCTTGATTAATCTTGTCAGAGGTTTATCGTTTAGTCTTCTCATACAATGACTTTTGTCTTTATTCATATTCTCTATTGAATCTTTGTTTTCAATTTTATTGATTTAAATTTTTGTTATATTCTCCTTTTTTAAAATTTTTTTTTTTCTGACGTCTTTTTTTGTTTTCTTTTCTTTTTTCTTTTCCCTTCCCCTGACGCCTTAGGTTGGAGTCTTGGCTTGTCGTTCTTTCGTGTTCTCTAATACAGTACAAGCTGTTTTATGTCTGTAAATGCCCTTGAAAGCCCTACTTTTGCTGAATCTCATCAGTTTTGGAGTATTTAGTGATTTTATTACCATTCTCTTGTAAGTCATTTTTAATTTCAATTAATTAAAATTAATTTCCTCTTTGAGCCCAAGCATAGTGACCTGTAATCCCAGCACTTTGGGAGGCCGAGGCAGGAGGATTGCTTGAGGCCAGGAGTTTGAGACCAGCCTAGGAAACATAGCGAGACCCCATCTCTACAAAAATATTTTTTAAAAAATTAGCCGAATGTAGCAACATACTCCTGTAGTCCCAGCTACTTGAGACACTGAAGCAGGAGGATCATTTGAGCCCAGGAGTTCAAGGTTGCAGTGAGCTGATTACACCACTGCACTCCAGTGTAGATGACAGAGCGAGACTCTATCCCAAAAAATAAGCGAATGGATAGATGGATGAATAAATAAATAAATAATTTGAAATTTCCTCTTTGATCCATGAGTTTTACTCAGTTGTGTTTTAGTCAGAAAATGTGATCTATTTTAGATTGGCAATCTTTTTCTGTAATAGATGAGGTAGTGAACATTTCAGGCATCCAAATCCTTACAATTTCTGTTCCAACTATTGAACTCTGATAGAGCCTCCCTGTTGGAGCATGAGCTGCTCCTCCATCTGACTTGGTCTTCATAGCACCCATCCTCTTGCTCATCTCAGCTCCTGCAGCTTCTGTGTCACTCACGCCTAGTATTTACACTTGGTTTTTTCCTATCATTTCTAATCTTGTTACAAGTATACCCATCACAGAGACCCCACCTGGCAGCGTGTGTTGCAGGCTGTGGTGCCAGTATGCCCAGATGAAGAGGAAGCGTGGCCAAGAGCCAAGGGCAGAGAGCCCCAGGGCTGGAAAACCAGAGCCAGTCACTGCCCCACAGGCGCATCCTTGCCCCAGGGCTTGACCTTAAACCCCTAGAGGCATCAACATGAGGGAACAGCCCCTCCCGAATGGCCATCCACCTGGCCCTCAGCCTTAATGTCACCTTCATCCTGCCCTAGAAGGCCAAGCCACTGTCACCCCTGCCCTGTCACTGTAAGGTCAGCAGTGACTGTACCAGCAGATTCTGGGCAAGCCTCATCTTCCCCATCCCTGCCCGTGTTGCTCCCTTTGCCTGCCACTCTGTCCTATACACACGCCTGGCCCAGCCTCTCAGCTCTGCCGTGGTTTCTTGCTTGCTGAGGAGTCATTCTTCTCCCTCTGTGGTTCGGTTTCTCCAATGGGCAGACACAAGGGTCTCTGCCAGGCCAGGGAAGGTCCTCACAGTCAGGTCTCCTTACTGATACTTTTGTTCAGCTGTCGCTCCTGTGCCCACAGGGTCTGCGGAAGAGGGAGCTGCTGAAGGAGCTGCTGCCAGTCATCGGACAGAACATCCGTTTCCAGCGCCTCTTCACCGAGTGTCAGGAACAGCTCGATATCCTAAGGGACAAGTAGCCTGCCCTGGCCTGCCCCGGCCGCAGCAAGGGCAGGGCTACACTCTCGCCACTGACAGCATGCAGGGCTGCTTCTCACCTGGCCAGGCTGCAGTGGGAGGAGGAGCCACTGGCAGGAAATGTGCTGTCCTGTACCAGCGCCGGCCCAGCTCCCCAGACGGATGTGCCCTGTGTCCTGGGCCTGATGTTGCCTCGGGAGGGGGCAGCTCACCCCTCCCTCCAGGCCCCCCGTCCAGAGCCAGGGCAGGGGCTCTGCCCAGCTGCCCAGGGGCCAGCAAGGCACTCCCAGGCCTGCCGTCTCCAGCACGGCCCCAAGGTGGACACTAGCCCCTGCTACTGCAGGTGCCGTGCTGCTTCAGCTACGATGAATGAGCCATTTGGGAGCGAGAATCTGGAGCGTTAGGTATTACGGAGTCAGCAGACTGACCTGAGACCTATGTAAAAGGAAAGCTGTTCCAACACACGGACTATTTTTGTACTAGAATTTGCTAACTTGTAATATGGAATTTTCCTTTGGCCAATAATCAGGATTTCCCCTATAAGTCACTTGGACATTGGTCACTTGTAGGAAATTTAAACTCTAATTATGACAGCTACACTGAAAAATAATTGTACTGAAATTAACTTGTCTATCTTTATTTGGTTTTAATTTTTAAATGTTTGTAAAAAGAGACTGTTTTGGGGGGAATGGGGCAAAGGGGTGGGCAGTTTCTTTTGTAAGTGTAAAATAAATGAACACACATTGGATACCAAACCATCCTGGCTTCTCTCGCCTTTTCCTTCTAACTTTCATTTTCCTCCACCCACTGTGGCTCTGTCTCCTGAAGCAGGCAGTGACAGAAGGGATCTTTGCTGATTCCCTCCACCAAAAATTCATTTCACAGTGTGTGGGGGTCACTCTCCAGGTTGTGCAGCACCTTGGGCCGACCTGGGGCTTGCAGGCAGGCCACCTTGCACGCATCATCTCCCACGCAAGGCATTGAGGTACTTGGGTGTCGCAGGTCCCGCTCACACTGGGCACCAAGGACTGCAGCTGACTACTTGGCCAGTTTCATGAAAGGAAATCAGTAAGTACAGTCTCAAGTATACTAAAGAATTATCAGGAAAGCTGGAATTTCCTTAGAACATGGTCAAAATGTTGATCCACAGGAGATGACATAGAATCACAGAATCTTCAAGCACAGTGAGCACTGAGCACCCCAACCCCTGGGTCATGGTCCTTATCAAAGCCACCCTGTCAGCCACGTGTGATCCTGAGTCTGGAGAAGGAGCCGTGGACCTGGAATCAGAAGCCTAGGTAACTGACCGCTGATGTCTCTCAGGCTGCTTCCCTGCCTAGTGGGCATCCCACTCTGTGTCTCACCTGGATGTCAAGTGGCTGGATGACACCCAGGCACTTGCACATACCCAACAAAGCCAGCACACACAGTGTGTGTGGGCATGGACACATCAAAAGCCACACTGCAAGTGGGAAGTTTTCTTTAAGGACTGCGCAGCTAGAGACTTACTGTGTAAGTCAGGCAGCCCCCCAGCAACTCTGCAGCAGGACATTGAAAACTTTGTGGAGCCACGGGAGGCAACACTGGCCAACAGTCCTTTTTGGGCTCCAAACCAGCAAATATCTGGGCCTCATTTTTTAGCTATGAAATGGAGATGAGGGTAGAAAAACCTACACGTCGTGAGGGCAAATTGGAACCATGTAGGCAAAGTCCTGGCACTTAGAAAATTGCGAGTGTTTTTGCCACTACCGTTTGGAGAGGATGGGGAGACAAGAAGCAGAAACACTCGTCAGGAACTTCAACTTACAGCCAAGGTGGAGTAACAGGGACCACATTGACCCTCCTACCTGAACAACCAAAGGAACTAGTCAAAATATGTGAAACAATGATTTCAAGACGCTGAATATCAAGCCAGGTGTGGTGGCGCACAACTGTAGTCAGCTACTCAGGAGGCTGAGGCAGGAGGATCGTTTGAGCCCAAGAGTTCAAGGCCGCAGTGAGCCGTGATTGCACCACTGCATTCCAGCCTGGGTGACAGACCCCATCTCTTAAAAAAAACAAAAATGAATAAACAGAAAAACACTGGATTCAGAAAACAAAGGACAGTGATCCCTGCAAGGTGGGACACAAATAAGGTAAGCCCCACAATTGTCCCAGGTTACTACCTGGAGAATTTCTTGGCTGCAGCAAAAGGAGGCAAAGCCCAGTGGACTACTTGATTTGAGGAAATGGAGCTGACCATGCAGGGAAACCAAGGCAGCACGGCTCCAGATCCAGCTAACAAAAAATAAAAGCAAGACTTGAAATGATCAAACTGTTTCCAAGCAACTTGATTATGTTGCAAAGCAGAGTTCAAGAAGATTTATAAGAACACAAAAATATGCAACATCCAACAAGATAAAGTTAACCATGTCTAGCATCTGAACAAAGATAACAAGGCATATGAAGAAGAAGGTAGATGATCCAAAATGAGGGGAATATTCAACCTGACAATCCAGACGGACCCAGAATTTACACCGATATTAGAATTAGCAGAGAAGAACATTAAAACAGTTACTGCTGTAACACTATTCCTTTATTCAAAAAGTTAAGTACAGACATGGAAGATGATAAAAACAAGACACAAATCTAACTTCCAGACATGAAAACTACAGCATCAAGATGAAAAATGCATGGGACAGGATTAATGGCACATTAGCCATAGAAGAAGAAAAGATTGGTGAACTTGAAGGCATAGCAACAGAAATGTTCCAAAACAGAAAAAAATCCAAAAGAGGAAAGAAAAGAAAATAGCATCAGAAAGCCATGGGCTGACTTCAGTTAGCAAATACAAGGAATCAAAATTGCTAACGGAGTGGAGAGAGAGGGATGAGAGAAAAATATATTTCAAGAAATAATGGATAAAAACTTGCCTTCCCCTTCCTGCTGTTTCTTGTGCCCTTGCAACTGACCCCTGTGCCACAGTCCATTTTTCCGACCCCCTACCCCTGATGTCCATACCCATGCGTGCTGACTGCCCTCCACCCCGTCCAGTGATGCCCCCACCTTCCTGCTGACTCCCACACCCTTTTCTTCCTCCTCTGCCTGCTAAATTTGTTTCTAAGCCAATCATCAAGGGCCTGTGTCTTCCCAGGCTGAGACTCCCTGCCTCTCTCTTCTCAAAGTTCTGGCCTGATCTTGGGCACCTCCAAGCTTCAGCTTCCAGATCACATCAGACCTTTACAGATAAGCACGATGCAGTGAGAAGTTGTACCTACACACGACAGGTGCATTTGGAGGCAAGCAGAGTTCATCCTCTTCTCCCTGTGAGTCTTGTCATCCCCTTCGTCTTATAAGCATGGCAAATGTTTTCCTCAGATTTTTCTCCAAATTGTGTTTGTGTGTTGACTTTGATTTCTAATTTTTAAGTTTAATTTTGGTTCTTTTATAATTTCTTTTATTATTTTAAACTTAGAGCACTTTACCAAATATACATGGATAGCCAGTAAAATAAGAATATGAAAAGATGCTCAACATCATTAGTCATTCAGAAAAAAGTAAACCACAATGATATAACACCACACACCTATTAGAATGGCTTAAATTAAAAAAAGGCAATACTGAATGTTAGGACATGGAGCAACTGAAACTTTTATGCATTACTGATAAGACAAAATAGTATGGTATGGTTATTTTGATAAACAGTTTGACAGTTCCTTATAAAGAAACACACTTACTGTACAGCCCAGGTATTCTCCTAGGTTTGCTGGTTTTTTCCAAGATAGAGTACATTTCCATCACCACAAGAATGCCTCATACTGTCCTTTAAGAAAAAAAGAAAAAAACAGCTTTCTTGAAATAACTGACATAACACGCAATTTACTTAAACTGTACAATTTAATGGTTTTTAGTATAGTCACATATGAACAACCATCACCACAGTCATTAGAATATTTTCATCACCTTGAAAAGAAACCACATCCCCCCACCCATCATCCCTAGGCAACCAAAGTCTGCTTTCCATCTTTACAGATTTGCTTATTCAGAACATTTCATAGAAGTGGAATCACAGAATATGTCCTCCTTTGTGTCTGGCTTCTTTCACTTACCATAATATTTTCAGGGTTCATCCATGTTGTAGCATGTAACACTATTTCATTCCTTACTGTGGCCGAATAATATTCCACTATATGGATATACCACATTTTGTTAACACATTCACCTGTTGATGGACATTTGGATTATTCCCACCTATTGGCAATTATGCATAATGGTACCCTAAACATTGGTATACAAGTTTTTATGTGGGAATGTGTTTTCATTTCACATACACATACATATCCCCCTAGGAATGGAATTGCTGCATCATATATTGACTCTATAACTAACTCTTTGACAAACTGCCATTCTGCCTTCCAATGTGGCTGCTCCATTTTATATTCATACCAGTGGTATGTGAGGGTTCTAGTTTTCCACATCTTTGTCAACACTTACTATTATCAGATTTTTTTTATTAAACTATCCCAGTACATGTCAAGTGTTATCTCATTGTGGTTTGGGTTTGCATTTCCCTAGTGACTAAATATATTTAGCAACTTTTCATGTGCTTGTTAGCCACTTGTATATCTTATTTGAAGAAATGTCTATTCAGATCCTTTGTCAACTTTTAAATTAGTCTATTTGTCTTTTTATCATTGAATTTTGAGAGCTTTTTATCCATTCAAGATAAAAGTTCCTTATCAGATATATGATTTGCAAATATTTTCTCCCATTCCATAGGTTGTCTTTTTATTTTCTTGATAATGTCCTTTGAAGATAGAAGTTTTCAACATTGATGAAGTCCAATTTTTTTCTTATGTTGCTCATGCTGTTGGTCTCGTATCTAAGAAACCACTGCTAAATCCAAGGTCATACAAATTTACTATTTTCTACTAAGATTTTTATAGTTTTAGCTCTTACATTGAGAACTTTGATCCATTTTTTATAAATTTTTGTATACGATGTGAAGAGTCCAGCTTCATTATTTTACATGTGGCTACCCAGATGTCTCAGCATCATTTGTTAAAAAGACTATTCTTTCCCCCATTGCATGGTCTTGGTACCCTTGTTGAAAATCAGAGGAGCGTAGTCACATGGGTTTTTTCTGGACTCTGTTCTGTTGAAATATGTCTGTCCTTATGCCAGTACCACACTGTCTTGATTGCTGTTGCTTTATAGTAAGTTTTAAAATCAAGAAGCATGAGTTCTGCCACCTTTAGTTGTTCTTTTTCAAAATTTTTTGGCTACTCTTGGGCCCCTGAGTCTCCTTATGAATCTTAGGATCAACTTGTCAATTTCTATAAAGAATCCAGCTGTAATTCTGCTAGGGATTGTGATCAATCTGTAGATCAGTTTGGGGAATATTGCTATCCTAATAATATCAAGTCTTCCAATTGATGAACATCTACATCTATCCATTTGTTTAGGTATTCTTTAATTTCTTTGAACAATGTTTTGAAGTTTTCAGAGTACTAAGTTTTATAGTTCTTTTGTAAATTCTATTCGCAAATATTTTATTCTTTTTGAGGCTATTGTAAGTGGAAGTGTTTTTAAAATTTCACTTTCAGATTTTTCATTGCAAGGCTATAAAACACAATTGATTTTTGTATATTGATCTTGTATCCTGCAATCTTGCTGAACTCATTCATTAGTTCTCATATTTTTTTACTGGACTTTTTAGAATTTTTTTTGTACAAGATCTTGTCATCTGTAAATAGAGATACTTCTTTTCCTAGCT